GAGCGAGCTGGAGCCCATAAAATTGCCCCCATGTGGCCCATCTGAAGCAGGCTGTCAATGCAAAACACTGTGGAAATATGGACTGGGCCATAGGCCTGGTCGGGTGTAGCTAGTCGGGAGATGGCAGCGACTGGAAAACGAGGGACGCTCGATTGAACCGGTATCAGCGATTTCACTTCGCGGTGGCACCCTCGGTGTAATATTTCACAACTCCCACTTCTCAGTTTTGGTGGAGCTCCAGATTTCCAACTCCACGACTCCAGCAAATTTGCACCTAGCAAATCGCCAGCTTCTCTCCCGTAACTCCAGGAGTTGGAGCGTTCGGCTGGACTCCTCGCCTGGAGTTGAGGAGTTGAGAAGCTGGAGGGCTATCGAACACGTCCTTGCACTCACCGTGGCTAGCCCACACGAGGAGATCCTCTGCTGCGCGCATTCTGCGCTCCAAGCGCCAGTCGTCGGTAACGTGTAGTTGTAGCCTCTTCTTTTCCCCGCTTGCTAATCTTAGGCATGCGGGCGAGAGAGATCCCAGCCACGGCCGCAGCTAGCATGCGTTGCAGAGTAAGATGCAGTACAGTATACGACGTACTCCTACTGTCTACTACTACTGCCTACTGGCGCAGTGGCGCATGCAGTGTAGTCTGACTCTGTGGTGCAACCCGGCCGGCCAAATAGACAACGGATCATGGGCGAGCAGAGCTAGGTACGGCACGTGGGGCGTGAACATGGACCAGACGGATCGGCTCCCACCATATACTAGCTGTTTTTCTTTTTGGATGGAGGAGAGATGCAGGTCCGTGACAAATGACAATAGCTCACAGCTCACAGCTCCATGACGGCAGGCAGGCAGGCAGGCAGAGCCGGCCATGGCATGGGAGATGGGACGGCGCAGTGCAGGCGTCCACGTCCACCAGCAACAGCGCAGTGATACGTGTACTGTACTATCAAAAGCCGCGTCCACCAGTAGTAGCTCTCAAAAGACACTTCATGCATGCATGGGCTCCGCTCTCATGCTCTTGTGTACGCCCCGACGACGTTAACCGAAGCAAGTGCATATAAGATACTCCCTCTTGTCTTTTTAGTTCGCATATAAGAATTGTTTGAAGTCAAACTTTGTAAAGTTTGACCATATTTATATGAAAAAATATCAGCATCTACAATGTTAAAGTTATACAATATGAAAATTTAAGTCACAACGCATTAATGATAACTAGTAAACATGCCCGTGCGTTGCAACGGGTGAAAAAATATCACGTAATAGACATTTCTTATCTGAGACATTATCTGCTGTTTTGATATGATTTTGATTCTGAATCACCGATTGTTATTGCGGTACTGCTGACGCACACCACCATGACCACGGTCGGGCAGGAGCAGGATGGTGCCGCCCGACAGCGAGAAGGCTATGTCTAAAAATTAAGTCTATTTAAAAAAGCCGATGTATATCACCATCAAGTGTGGAGCGGATGAGATACAAATTAAGCCCCTACATACACGTGTTTTGATAAGGACAAAAAATGAGAAATGTCACATCTGTGTCGTGACAAGTGGCAACATTCCTCTTCTTTTTTGCCTCTCCTTTTATCAACATGTGGATCACAGATCCATCCGCTTTGTTCTGCTGAGACATGCCGTTGGGGAGTTAGGTGAAGGTCTACACCACCGCCGCCATGGCTGGGTTTCCGATGTTCCATATAAATTTAAAAGGAAAATACAAAATGCTGTAGTTGAAGCAAATTATGTCTATAGTAATACGAAACTCGAATAACCATTGTTGATGTTAACATTAAGGCCAATTCAATATCAACAAAGTGAATCTAGATCAAAGCAAGCGGGAGCAAATATAATACTCCCTCTGTCCCAAAATTCTTGTCTTACATTTGTCTAAATACGAATGTATCGAGTCACTTCTTAGTATTAGATACATCCGTACCAAGACAAATCTAAGACAAGAATTTTGGGATGGAGGGAGTACCAAAATTGAACCAGCCAGTCAGGTGTAATCAAGTAATTCATGTCATAAGAGTTTGCAATGGAGGAAGCAAGTTACGATTATGCATGTTTTACCCCCAGCACGCACTATCCTGCAGGGCTAAACGCGACCAACACGTGTTCTGGTCAGCCCCACCACTGAAACGACATATTTTGTTTTCTTTCCATTCCCTTAACTTATCTCCTGGACTCTTCTAGCTGCCTCAGTTCGACCTCCATGAAGCGTTTCCCACAAAGTGAGACCGTGAGATGCCAGTCCGCCATCCGAGGCCATCGTCGTCGCTGGCGGCAAGTAGGGATCCTTTGCGGTTAGCACGGCCCGCGTCTGGCGCGTCCAAGCCCGGGCCTAAGTTGTGGCAGCTGCTTCCATGCCTATGTTCCCCTCTGTTCGAGCTCAGAGATGATTCACTGGTGAGATGCGGTCTGCCGTCTGAGGTCGTTGCTGTGGCCGGCGGCAAGGCGAGAGCTATTGCGGATAGCACCGCTTACGTCGGGGGCGCCAAAGCCCGATCCTAAGTTGTGGCAGCTGCTCCATGTCGCTGTTCCCCGCCGAACAGCGTCGCGTGCTGCTCCATGCCGCCGTTCCCCGCCGAACAGCATCGCGTGCGGGGGCGGTCAGTTGGTACCCCAAGATACAGCACAAGCTCGTGCAAACTCACTTGAAGTTTGGAGCTCGATGCAAGCTCAAAGGGAGAGGTGAGTGCTACCCCCATATACTACTTCATGTACGTGTAATTTCCCTTTCCTGTAGCTCAAAGTAATGGAAACAGAGTGCACATATGCGTGTACTCTAGTTTGATGTGCAGCTTCACCTTTCCATTCTTAGTTTTCAATCTGGAGAACTAAATCATGAAGGAATAACCAGCAACTAATTTGTATTCATATATATCTTTATTTGAGCATAAAACTGTTGCTCGACTTCTGAAAAATCCATATACCATGTCAATGTTACTACACCACACCCTGAACCATGAGTATATATAAGCAAAAAAAATCTAAAGAAATATGAGTTACACGTTCAGTTGTCATCACTAAATAAAATTATTGGCATGAAGGATATGTCAAAGTCCGAGGATCACAACGAATGAAGCTATTGGTATCCTTCAAACCATGCCATGTTACAATCTCTGATGAAAATAATTATACACTACCTTGACACATCTTCAATGAAAAAAATCAAGTAATAAAAGCGTGCAAGAATATTAAAGTACATATGTGCCAAAAGTTCTAAATTTATGTCTTATCAACATATATTATTCATGAACTGAGAATCACAAATGACTGCAAGCACAATTAAGTAGCAAAAGGTGCTTATTTAGGCTTCAAAGTTAAAGCCAGAAAGAAGTAACCTGTCAATGTCTGTTATGAACTGAGGGCACCAATCAAATCTGATTCTATTCTAACCTAAATACTACATGAGTACACATAGTAAAGAAATTCTAAAGCCGCTTGACTTGAAGTAGCCTCTGCAAGCTTGTCAGTGCGGATTGCACACAGAAAATGCCATGCTCTACTTGTCCAGTAATTAACCATCTGCTTGACAAGACAAAAGGATCTGATAATTGTATTAGGTTAGTATTACTATAGCACAAATTGAATCAAATGGTCCCTAGTGCTGCACATCCAAACTACACTGGTTAATTGTAGCCTATGATTAATTGATAGATTGATCGATAAAGCAATTCAATTACAGTCCGTGAGTGGTCTAAGGGAATTGTGGTAGCCTGTTAGTTGGGCCTTGGAACTGTTCTCCTCAGAGCTGAGTTGCGCCCCCATGGCGGCGAATAGGCCTTCCACACGCTTGCACACCACACTGCCATCCAACAACAAGTGATGCAGTAGATGCATGTGAGATCTGCACACGCACACGCGTCTGCTGGGTCCAGTGCCAAAGACGTTCTAATCTACCAGCTAATCTACAACGAAATTCTAGAATCAACCAAGAATTCTACCCTGCGCTCGAATCTGTTGTTAACCAAAAGATGTCTACCTAATATACTAATCCCAAATCCAAAGGATTTTTTAACAAATAAGAGGTATACTTAATGCAACACCAGGAAGAATGATATTGTTGCACCTTGAGGGCATGCTTCATGGAAATCAATTTCTACATCAGCAAGGGACAAACGCATTGAACGACATCACTTTGATATAGAATAATGAAGAGCGAACATGAGACAACTAAACAATAAAACATGAACTTATGTTTATTTGGCATGCAAGAATTGAAGCATACATGATAAAGATGAAAAATCAGTAAAGATGTATCTATAGAACCTCTGAGCAGCAATACATATACTTTACACCGCTGATGTTCTATAGCTAGGATCTCCAGTTTAACCAAATATCACTACCAAAGAAATGGAAATAAATAGTTCACAACCTTGAGCTCAGTAAAAAAAAATCCTAGAGCATGAATGCGCAATCGTCCTCTGAAGGAGAGCCGCAATGACTTGCAATATTTTTTCCCTTTTAGTTTCCATAAGAGCTTATTCAATTTTTTATCCAAATTGATCTGCCTAAATAGTCAAGCTGATACTTAGAAGGCACAAAGTTGAAAGACAGTTGCAGAACCTACCATTGCATTTGACTAAGAAATTCACAGAATTTTAAGATGAGACAGAAACAACAACGTTATATAACCAAGGAGCACCAGTCAAATCATGCATCGTGTAGTTCTTAATGGAAACAAAACTGTATATAATAACTTCAGTTATCTATCTTCAGGATGAAAATCATGGGAAAGAAGTGAACCAGAATCAATAAGTTCAGTGAGAATCTGCTACTCATGATCGCTGTCAATATACATGTGAACACTTCTGTAGATTTCTTCAAGGTCAATCATTTTCTTTAAGACAAGCTCTTTCATTTTGCTACTTTCGAATGCTTCAGTCTCTTGACCTCAACCTCTACCTAAACAACGGGGGCAAGGAATTTCACATGACAATTAGTATAATTTAAAGAAATTAGCTTGATGAAAATACAAAGAAAATAATTAAATAAATAGACAATCAAGAATCAACTGTAACCTTCTTAATAAGGTCATGTGAAAGGCATCCTTGAGGCATCACTGTATTTTGTGAGACTGAAATCAAAGAAGTAACATGATCAAAGCATTTCTGTTCATCTAATGGTGTGTCCGTTAGACTCCATAACTCAATGAGTGTGCCTCCAAGATCTTGTAGCTGCAATAGATAATGCAAATTTCAACAGTGTGGATCTTTGATACAAAGAAATATGGAACAATATTTAGCAGAAGTTGAAAGGTAAGCATGCTAAAGTGCACAGGTCAGTAAACCATACACTGGTCAGGAATAAAACTGAATTAGGATGGCAAACATGTCATGTATAGTGTATGTAAATCATAATGGAATGGCATAAACCAAATAAATCGAACTACAAAAGGTTTAGAAACATTCATGATATGCTTTGCTAAGCTGAATCGCATTATAAAAAGTCTCAAATTCGATGACTGCCTTATTGGAGGTCAAATAGTAAAACAATATACGCCAAGGTGAAAGCATTGAAGTAAGATAGATGCATGCTCCTGCTTTTATTAAATGTACAGGTACATTGAATCATAAGAGTTAAAGAGTGACAAGCAAGACAGCATATTCGACAGTTCAGAAAAATAGATCATGATATGATTTGCTAAGCTGAATCATATTATCAGGCAACTACTCAAACACAATGATAGGCCCATACTGGAGGTCAACAATAAAACATATAGACTAAGGTGAATACGTTAAAGATACACACAGACCCATACTTTTGTTAAATGACTAACATGAACAGCAAACACCAGGACCTTCCGGAGCCTCTGTTTCTTTTCTTGATTTAGTGCATGAACTTTTCCTGCAAGCCTATCAAGTGTGCTATCACTTACACTCATGGATTTGATTCTTTCCAATTCAACAAAGCTGGGATGAACTTCATATAATGTCTTCTTAAGATCAAGAGACATCATATTGCACATTTCATTAATACACTTGATCTGACCATCAATCTTTTGAAGTATGAGATTCTGAAAACACATCAGGAGAAACAATTTAAGCGTTAGAGTTGAAAGATTAAGGAAATGATAGGCTTATACCAGGTGCCTAACCTTTTCTGTCTGGAGCTCATCACTGTCCCTTTCTCCCTCACCTCCCTATCTCCTTTCTGCCCAGGAGCCGCCATGGATTTCTGTCCAGGGGCCGCCATGGAGCCGAGCGGGAAGCGCGCTCCGGCCTTCCTCCGCGTCACCGGTGATCCCCCTCCCCCTCCCAAAAATCGCCACGTACGGATCCGGGCCCTGCAAGCTCCGTCCGCTGCCTTTCTGCATCGAACGCGAGCCCTCCCGGGCGGCGCATAGTGAGAGCTTGGGAGCATGGAGGAGAGGGGGATCTGAGGCTTAACGGTGGTTCCTGGTGCTGTGCTCACCGGTGCCGACCAGCGGGCGTCGCGGCACCGGATCGAGCATCGCCGGGGTTGGTCGCCTCCTGGCGGCTGGGATAGAGAGGTAAGGGAGAGCCCGCCACGGGGCTGGCTGGAGGTGGCCGCGGCGGCG